GTGCAACTACCCAGAGACGGATGCGGAGAAATGCAGGGTTATCCTGGCAACACTGTCTGACAAACCACGAAAGCACTACTTCGATAGACTGTTTGCTTCGTTGGATGAGTTGCTGGACTCTTTCCTCCGCTTCGACCAGGTAGTCTTCAGCCAACCAAAAACACCGGCATTGACGGTAGCTGCAGAGCCAGCTCAGGTTGCGAAGATAACCAAGAAAGTGTCCTCCTTACCGCTCTTGAAGCAGGACTGGTCGCCGCCTCGTCAGAACACGAACGACGGTCATTGTCAGCAGCCTCTTTCTCCACCCGAGAAGCAAGAGAAGCAGCACGTGTCGCGTCTAGGGTGCCTTCATGTGCGCTTTGCTTAGGGTGGAGGCATCTGGCCATTTTGTCCCACACTTTTATTTTTTTTTTTTTTGTTCAGAAGTGCGTGAAAGAGCGTGTCTCTGCACGCGTTTCTGGCGCTGACTGTGCTATGGCGACATTTTGTTTTCGTCGATTTCTTTGTATTTTACCCGTGAGCGCGTGCTGTCGGCATCAGGTACTACAAAGGGTGGCATCACCCTAAACAGAAGGACATTGAGGCACCCTAGTCGCGTCAGCGCCCGTCAAAAGATTCCCAGAATTTTCGGCGTTCTTCGTTTTCTCACCCGGAAGTTCGTCCGCTGTGCCTCAATTGTAAGAAGAGCGGCCACTTCGGTCACGCGGTGTCGGCAGGAGCTCACACCATAATTTTTGGAATGGCAACAGCGCTTCGAGTCCACTGCAGCACCGACGCAGGGAAACGACAAGCTGGTGCCTCTGGCGCCTGCGAGAGGTCATCAGTAGTTCGGCGCATCCCATCTGGCGCAGCGGTGGGCACCAAAACAATTCAGGTTCAACTGAACGGATGGCCTCTGACAGCTTCCGTGGATTCAGGCGCAATGAGAAGTCTCATCAACGTTTCCATCGCCGACCAGTTGCACCTTCTGATTCAACCCTCTTCCATCCGTCTCCACGGTGCAAGTGGTCAATTCCTCACGAACCTCGGCGAAGTGAATGCCACAGTGACAGCTGACGGTCAGATGCTGAACCAAGCATTCATCGTGGTCCCACATCTGCAGGAAGAAAAGTTGCTCCTTGGTGACGATTTCGTGACAGCATGCAAGGCCATGATCGATTGGGGTGCAAATAGCTTCTCGATTCCTCCGCCTACGACATGTCATAAGGTCATCTTGGTTACGGAGCAGCTGATACCTCCGTGGTCACGAAAGCTTGTTCAAGCACACCTGAAGAATCTTGTCCGAGGACAATCAACGAAGATAGAGGTGAGCGGCACAAAATTGCTCTACGACCGTCACTGCCTTCTAGTTGAACCCATGGTTATGGATAAGACCGAGAGCACGTTCTTCGTACTCCTGGCCCAGCTAGAGCCTTTTATACTGGGAGAGTTTGGCGGTTCTTTGATCCAGCAGCCAGTCTGGCAGCACTGATCAAACTGTCTGGCAACTGTGCGCATCCGCCATGATGTGCCTTGCCGTCTAGCTTGATTGCACCTTTGCATTTAATTGCATTATAATTATAACCTTAAATTGCAAGCTTCACCCTTGTTTGGTGTAAGGCTGGTGGCGGCTGATAAAACCCGTTTGCCCTACTGACTCGAGCCGGCAGTCGGCTGGCTAGAGTCCATGGAGCGAGAGACGACGATGAAAATGATCGTTCTGCGCTGCACTCTGCCAGATGTTAGATGAAAAATAAATAGGGGGCTGCAGTGCCGTTGGGTTCTCGAACAACGCGAAAAAGGGATTCAGGATGTACCGGTTCCCGCAAGGAAAAGAAAACCGCGCAAGGCACAAGATCTGGGAAACCAAACCAAGAAGGGCTGACTGGAAGCCGAGTTCTCGATTGCGCGAGGTAAGTTTATGATTAACGTATGATTAACGTAACAAAATGCTTGATTTTTCGACTTTCTCCTTACGCCAACAAAAGCGCAAACGGCAAAACCTACATCCGTATGCATCGCATGTCAATGGGGACCCACTCGCCGGGAGGCACATCATGGCGGAAGCGGCGCCCGCTGAGTCCGCTAGACCTAGCGGGCCGTAAGCCCCTCCCACCTGCCGAACTCTCCAAGTATAAAAGGCTCTGTCCTGGCCAACCCGTCGTCTCGACCAGTGGCTCTACCCTCTGATGCTACTGTTGGAGTCGCTAGGGGGGTCACAAGTGTCGAAGACATCGAGCTTAGCGACGACGAAATTGCTTCCATCTTAAGTGGCTCAAGCCTGCCTTCGTCGGAGGACCTGGATCGCCTAGACGGAGGATTTGAAAGCGCAAAAGACTGAGAAGAGACAGATCTCTTCTCAGTCTTTTGCGCTTTCAAATCCTCCGTCTAGATGTTCAACCAACTAGCCCCCCAATTAATTCCGACCTGGATCGCCCAAATGCTTTGGAAATCGTCGGCCCTCAACATCAACCGCTATCGGTTGAGGCTATCACGTTCAATATTGGTTCAATGCTGGCACCTGAAGAGCTTCAAAAAGTTCAAGAGCTTCTTGCGAAAAACATTGCTTGCTTCGCGCGAACCAGCATTGACGTTGGAAACTGTCGGCTTGAGCCGCACTCCATTCCGACAGGTAATGCGAGACCTATCTCCCAGAGACCACGTCGACTGTCGCCGGCGCAGCGTGATGCCGTCAAGGCGATGATCAAGGATCTAATCGATGCCAAGATTGTGCAACCATCGCGCAGTCCGTGGGCATCCCCCTTGATTTTAGTCACGAAAAAGTACGGATGAACACGAATGTGCGTCGAGTACAGAGGGATCAAAGCGGTCACTGATGACACTGTCTACCCCTTTCCGCGAATTGAAGTGCCTCTACCCGATGACTGAAATTTTGAATTTTATAGTGTGTGCACTTGTTTATAGCGTGTCTTCTCATTTAGCATTTTGTATGTACATATTCATTCACTCTCGTGCATATCTCAGAGCGCGGTATTTGTTTAATGTTGTTTTGTTCTTGTTTCATGAAAGCGCACTGTCGGGTCGACAGTTTCTAAAACACCGTCATGTGACGAGCCGCAAAAGACGACTCGCGCGGCTCGTGCTAGCTCCGGTGCCGCTCGTGCGAGCGCGAAAGAAAGGGTCAAAATAAAAAAGAAAAAGAAGTTCTGCATGGAATCTCTGAGGTTGACGTGTCTTTCCTGAGCTCGGAGCCCTTTTCTCTTGACGACCAGAACGAATCGTCACAGTGTAAAAACGTCATAAGAGCAGTTACGTTTCCGGTGAAAATGAATGAACGACAAGAGGTCAATATTTATGGCGCATGCAGCGCTCGAGGCATAGGAACGAAAGCTCTCAGCCACGGGACACGTTTGAGACCCCTGACCTGACGACCAGGGTGGCCAGTTCCGCTTTTTATAAGCGGGTTTGGGCTTCTTTTTTTCACTGAGTCTCTAGTAGATTTTTCCAGTCGCTTGTCGCGTTTTTGGGGCTTATTCGCGTTTTTCCTGCAAATATTGTTATCTTAGTGCTCGTCGTGCTCACTGACAGCCCTGCTTACAGCAGCGCCACCGCAGCAACGTGACGTCAGAGCCGCGGGTTGGTCTACAGCAGGCGAGACTAGCAACGAGCCACAAGGAAAGCAGGCAAAGATCGACCCCAACGCGACCCCTGCCGGAAGTAGTGCGAGTGCAGTGATATGGCGAACAAAAGTCACCTAGGGCCGGGGGACTGCCGGGCTACGGATCCCGACAGGAGAGGAGCGACTTCCACTGCGGGGCTAAAGCCCCGTTCGCACACTTCCGTTTGACTTCAACCCAGTGAGACTACTCCGGTATTAAAGCCTGGCTTATGACCGGCTCCGCTGCTTCGGAGTGGGTCGTAAGCCGGCACGAAAGACTTAAAAACAGGTTTTTAGCTTCTCCGGTCCTTGGAAGTCGCAAGTGTGTCAACGAGCCTAAAAGAGACACTGACACCCCCCAAAATTTATTTTTTATTTTTCTGCCAAGCGGCATTATGGTGTTCCCATTCAATATTTTGCTACAGCGTCACGTTTATCTTTCATAAAGAAAAAAACAAAAAAACAAAAAAACGCAAATGCTTGAAACCGAAACTGAAACTGAACTTGGGACGAAGAGGAAATATCGAGGAGGAGAGAGTTAGCGAAAGTCACGTAACTGCGCAAATTTTTTTTTTTCAATTAACTGCGCAAATTTTTTTTTTCAATAAACATATTTGCTGCTTTCAAGAAGCCACAAAAAAAAAAGGTACCATATTTATTTTTTATTTTTAATATTGTGTGTCTGCCTTCGACGACCCACGACCTTGACTATATTTGGTGTTTGTGTCTAAACCATAGAAAGCAGCACACGACCACGGAGAAGAGAGTGAGCGCGACTCAAACCGGCCAGTTCTCGATCGGCGGTTTTCGGGCGGAAAGAAAACGAATTTCGAGCAGGGAATCGATTTCTGAGTATTTGCCGGGCTCTCATATATCATGAACAAATAAAAACCTTGGCGAGCATAAATACCCTGCCACTGCCCCTTTAAGGCCGTCGATGTAAGACAACAACACCAAGCATCAAGGGGAGCACAATATATGACGCGGTGGTGGACTGGCGTCTGGATTACATATAAAGAGTGAAGATTGGAACCTCATGTTTCACATTCCCATTTACCCAAATTAGCCAGAGTCAAGTTGTAGTCTTCTTTTTTTTATGCTTGAAGCGTTATGTTTTTAAGTCTTTTTGTTTTCCTTCAGTCAGGATGCGTAGCAGGGGCAGTGCAATAGGCCAAGTAGACTAACGAGGTACTGATCCCTTAGTTCAGATAAGCACTTACATAAACAGTAAAAAAATGCATTCACTTGAAAGTTAAAACTCAGTGATCGGCATCTTCAGCATATCATGAAGATATATAATACAAACAATAAAAAATTCACAAAAAACAGGAAGGATTCTGAAAGCAGATAGTACAAAAGACCCCGCCCCTCACAGCATCAAGAAGAAAAGCTTCATTATTATTTTTTTAATGCACTGTGGTATTGATTTTATTGAATATTGATTCTTTTTCTACCACTATTTTTCAGTAGAGATCTTCAAATCTTCAACAGGCTGGTGGAGTAGGAGTTGGTGGCAGGGTTACTTTAAGCTCTGTTTCGCAGTTCAGTACAAGATCAAACAAGGTGCCAACTTCCGGATCCTGACAGGGAAAAAAAGAAATAAGACGGTGAAAAATACGCAAAATTGGACCTTTGTTCAGACATGTAGCAGGAGACGCTATCATTAGGAGAGTAACGCATGACAGGCGAGATTAAATTAATATATTTCTCTGTAATTAGAAAAACAGAGCATTGCCCACAGTTCCTTTTAACAAAATGATTTCAGAAATGACTTCGTTCAATGATATCTGTCTAACGTTTCTTGCGACATAAAAACTCAAAAACAAAAAGTTTCACGAACCAAACAGAAATAAGCACAAAAGAAAAGCTCTGCTTTATATTGAATGTGTCTCGGTGCATTGGATACACATATGCCTGGATTTATTTTTGTTTAAACACCTACCGTTAAAAAAAAAGAAAAAAAAAAGAAAAAAAAAGAGTGTGCGTTTTTAAATGCTATTTCTTTTTTTTCACTCAGTCAGGAAATGGTGCGTTTGGAGCGAGGGGCGTACTGACGCCGTTTCCACCCAAGAGGTTCGGGGCTGGAGCCTCTGATGCAATTATTATGCTACAACAAACTATAATAATTCTAGAATCACAAAACTTCGTTCAAGCAGCATGACACCAAATTCAGCCTAATTACCAACTTGCTTGGACGTAGTGGGCATTGGACATTTTTTGTTTGTTGTCGGAGTCTCTGCTGCACTTCTGTTGCAACGTCCTATATGCTATGCCTATCACTTTAACCGACAAAACGTGAGGGCGAAAGTGAGCTGGTGTGAGTTCATAACTGTAGAATTACCTACGCTCACTCTGTAAGTACCGCAGTCCAAGCATCGTTCACTCACTCTATAGCGGAGTGTATTAAAAATCTGTTCGGCCGTCTCAGCTAATTCAAATAACCTCAGGAGTTTCTGTAGAAGCAGCTTTGTTCTAAAAGAAGGTTAAGAAAAGTTCTGGGCAGGAGAGGTATGCTGGGGAGCTCTTCCCGTTCTTTCACGGAATATCCCATAACCTCAAATCTTCCGCTAATAAGTGGGGCTTTGTACGGCATTTAGCACAGACTATAGCTTAAAAATGTTGACTCCCTTCACTTCGGCTCAAAATAGTTGTAATAAAAAACGCAAGGAGAAAAGTGACGCTTTTGTTTCAGGGATTGTCAACAAAATCCCCTTTGACTGTGGTTTGTGCTATGTTGGTCAGAGTAAGCGCTGTATCGTTGACCGTTTGACCGAAGATAGATGATGTGTCCATATTAAGAATCACTATTCGGAGGTTTCAAAGCACATCCAATAATGTGATACAGTTGTGTCCCTTCGTGGAATTTGACGTTTGTGTTTTCACCAGAAAACAAATTAACACAAACGCCTTTTAAAAAACCCAATTTCGACAAGAAACCTTTGAACCCCTTTCTTTGTTTAGACGCCGAGAGGAAAAGATTTCTTGAGTTTTAACTTATCTCTCTGTGTGTGTGTGTGTGTGCGTGCGTGTGCGCGTGTGTATGTGTGTGTATGTGGGAGGGGGGATATCTGTAAGAAAAACTGTGTCTGCTTTTTTTTTTTGCGAACTGTTTTGTTTTTTTGAGGATTACGTGTACGTCCTTTGCAATGCACAACTTTGAGGCCACCCCTTTTGCATGTATTTGTACGGGCTGTGAACTATTGGTTGGAGAATCCAGTTTCACGGGCTTTTTTACCTCAAACTGACAAATACAGTTCGTGTTCGTACCAGGGACTCAAACCGTAACCGTAACCAAAACCGAAAATTGTTTAAAAACGAATTTTTTTTTCAGGAACCGTAAACAAAACGGAACCATTATTTCAAATTTATAAAAACCGCAACCGCGTAACCACAACTGTAAATTATTTACCGATAACCGATATTACCTGATATTAACCAAAAAACAAAAATATTAGTTTTTCTAAAGAAGGAGCTCAAGGAGGCACCTTAAATATCATCAGAACTTTCTGGGGACTGCTTAGAAAGCGCTGTCGAACAAAAAAGTAGCGATGTTTGTTTTTATAATAAAGAACGCGATGACCCCCAAGTAGCGGAAGTAACATGCATGATTGGGTATCACAAACTATATAATGCAAATATATGTAGTGAACAAGTGTTCGAGTTAGAAACGTGTGCAACTTTTGACCAATTAAAGGTACTAAGACATTTTTGAATTCTTGTTATTGTTAAGGTTCCGTTGTTGGATATCTGAAACTACTGTAAAACATTTATTATAAAACAGCTGTCTTGCATTTCAATAAAACAAATTATTAAAGAAACCGAAAAAAAAAGGAACGTGTACAAGGTAATTGAAACTGCAAAAATTAAAACTGTAAAAAACCGAAACGAAACCGATATCAAGAGGAAACAGTAACTGTAACTGTAACCGAAATGTTATATTTTTCGGTTTGAGTCCCTGGTTCGTACCATAGGTTTTGTCCTTGAGATTGTGTAATTTTCGGGGTTTTTTCCCTTTTCCTCTTTCTTGTTCAAACGGTATAAAAATAGAAACTGTGACAATAAAGTTTGAGCAGTGTTTGAGACTTATTTCTTTCTTCCTGTCGTTTTTCTGTCGTCACAAATATGAAATAATTCTACTAATATGAACAATTAGACCGCACAATTATTTTTCGAATAACTAAACGCGCTATTCGAACGTGTTAGAAGCAGGCTGTCAAGTATTTGAAAGAGCCTTCCGCGCGTTGTGCTGGCACACTCGAAAGCGATTGGTGTGCTCACCATCCAAAAGGATATTAGAGCGGCCCCTTTTGGGAGCAGCAGCACTTTGGTAGGATACAACGTGAAAGGCTGTGGTTACAATAAAGGTCGGAGAGTAAAGTGCTTTGACCCGAGCTCTCCAGACCTGACTTTGCTCGAGCGTCCGTCTAGCTGTGAACAGGTTTCACAACTTTCTTACTAATTAATAATAAAGCAAACTGTTACGGTATAAGGAAGCAGCTTCGTGGCGTTGACTATCGTACAAGCGGTGTTTATTCCAAAACATTGTATTTAGTTAAGCCATTTAGGGGTTCCTACAATTATAGTTTAATTATTTTAATTCAGATACTTAAGTACCCCATGATTCATTTAAATAAAATATTTTTTTTTCTTATTTAACTGCGCCTATGATTTACAAAGAACACAAAAGCGGTCCTCGATTATACTTAAAACCCGATTATATATTTAATCGTTCGTCTATATTCATTAAGGTCCTAAAATGTTTGCTTACCGTCATGTTAACGAGAACTTCATTAGTCTGAAAAAAAAACCATACATGTGTTGTTTATCAAGCTTCATAATACATAAAATATAACATTTCTGATACGTTTTGGTTTATAGTTATCATTGTGTTAATATTATATCGTATAATGAACTTGAATAACCTACACCCTCCAACGCAAAAGTGGACGCGTTGGCGTCCTCTAGCGAGCGAGGAGCCATCACAACTCTCAGATTAGTATATTAGGCAATGACGGGAAGTTCATAAGCTTTCTGTTCACAAACGTTTCCTCCTAGCAGCACTTACGCCTTATTACCCAGTGAATTAAGTTTTTGTGATAATGTCTTTGACGGTTCTCCGCCTTGTAATATGCATATGCATGATTCTCATTTGGAATGGAACGTTGTTCGTCCTCACCTTCTTGTTATCATCACACATATAATAATTATACGAACGGCAGTATCGATGAAGCACACTTGTCGTGATTCGATAAAACCGCCCTAGCACAGTATGTTGCTTTGATGTGTAACTTCCCGTTATATTACATTAAAATGTAGAGCTCTTTTTAAATATAAAATTTTACTTACTTTATTACAAACGATGGTCACAAAACTTGTGATATTCTCGCAAAATAGCCATGTGTAATTGCTCAGTTTTTTTGCAGACTCTGAATTCGGGACCTGAAGAGTGCAATTGGCATTCATCATAACATCAGCAAAACAATTTATCGATATATGTCGCTATATATCCTGTATATAATTACGTTTATTTGATCTTGAGCGCACTTGAATATCTTCTCCTGGTCATCCAACAAGGCATCTACACAAAGGTGAAAACACAGGTCTTCCATGATCGTTACCGGAACTGTAATAACGCGGTACCTAAACATTCATTCTCAAAATAAAAAAAAATGAAATTTACACCATTTTGTTTACTCGGGTTTTATTCTTTAGCTAAGAATTATTTCACACATTCAGGCGCACGAGAATTCCTAAAATCCTCAAAACAAGCTTTTAACTTCAGTGGAACAAAAGAAAAATGAAATGATAAAGATCTTACTGCAAAATACTGGCTGCTTTAGAAAGTCCGTACTCCCTGACTCTTCGGACGCTGCTGTCGAATCGAGGTCTTCCGTACAAAATATAAAGGACATCACTGTCAGAAGCACAGCGACTTTGACTAAGTAAACTCTCATGTCTTTTCTTTGATTGGCTTCCAATATTTAGCGGCTGCAGGACAGGCTATCCCTTCTTCCTTTTATAGCAAACGTGAGGTCGAGATTTTAGTCGCCGTCGTATAAAACAACGCGAAAGGTCGCGGATACATTGAAGGTCGACGAGACGATCCCACGAGCAAAGTGCTTTAACCTGAGCCGACCATTCTTGACGTCATCAGATCCGACTTTGCTCGAGCTTCCGTGTAGCTGCGAACAGATGAAACAACGCGGCAAATTCTCTTCCTATACTTAGTAATAACAGATGTTGAAAGTTTAAGGAAGAAACTTGGTGTGCTTTCATTAAAGTGTACGGCGGTATTTATTAAAAACCATCCAATTTTAGTAAAGTGATGTTTGGAGTTTATGCACATAATGCTTACTTACTTTAATAAACAATTTTTAGTACCCCACGATAGAGGTAAACAATTTGTTTTCGTTTTGCATCCGTAAATTAGCTGCGCGTTATGAAAGCAGAACTTTTGTCAAAGGACAGTAACTTTAGGCGATGATTATAGTATATGGGGACATTATCAGCCCGTTACGGTGATTGGTCAGAGTCGTTTTGGAGCACATTTTGGAGCAGCCGAAAGTTTATTTTGGAGCCGCAAAAGAACTTTTGGAGCATAAGCACACATTTTGCACGGCCAATACTGTGTTAGGAATCGTGTGTTGGTATGTCGAACTGAAAGACAATGCTACTTTGCCTCCCCACTTTTGTGGAACCTAATGTTAGCATCAGTTGCACGGCAAAATTGATTCCTTCAAGCACAGAGCAAATTGTTTATTTCTGCGTAGAAGCACCAAACACGGCAAAAAGATTGTGATTGATGAAGGACAGTATAAACTGCAGTGCATAGTTGTTTTTTTCGGTACACAATCAAGGTTAAAGCAAATAGTATATTCCACTACAATAATGTTAAAATAAAATAATTTAAAGCACTCGAATTGATGTTTTGTTCAGATTCTAAAGTTTCTAATACAACCGCAATCACTAATTCAAATAAAAAAATGTATTTGAAAATGAACATCAATAGCATTTGATATGTAGAACTTGTAATAGCAAAAACCGGCATGTGAACGATAAATATGCCTTCTGAATGAAAAATATACCTCCAGCTAATTTAGTCTTAATGCACCCTGTTGAGTGTGCCATAGAACATATATGAAGCCATCCAAAGGTAATAAACAAACAAGAAAACTGACATAACAAATAAACCTGTATACAGCAGTCGAAACAAATATTCGACCAATACTTAATTATCCTTGCTAAAACTCGAAAAAAAATATCACAGTATTGCAGATATTATGCTATACAGGATATATATATATATATATATAAAAGCCACAGCTTCACTCGGAAGTCCTGCAGAATCCGGCTTTGGAAGGCTGCTTTCCCCTCAGCACGCTGATGCGCTGCAGCGAGACAAGATACCCAAAATCGCTATATTTATTTTGCGGTTGTCGCTTTGCTGCAGTACATCAGTGGGCGGCGAGAAGTCAACTCAACGAAGCTAGCTAACCTGCCAGAACAGAGCACGCACATGAAAAACATTGCGATACTTCCGCCGAGTGCTGTCAGTGCCTAACACAGATGAAATCAAGCAGTACGACATTTGACGCCATAATCTAAAGTTTTGAAAATTTACACAAGCCTACCGTAACAATCTGGCCGTATACCGGGACCTCAGCTATTACCTCGTGATGCGTTTGGCACAATGTTGGCGCAAATCCCTTGTATTTTGGAAAAAAAAATAAGCAGGATGTAGAATGGCAGGCACTCTGGCGCATTTTTGGCGCAAATGGAGCAGAAATCACATCACTGCCGCGAAATCCACGTAAAACAATTACGGCAGACGACGCCAATCTTGGCATGGTTCGTCTCAGGGCGATATCTCTGGCTTCTTTGCTCCAGGATGGCTATGCCCGACAACTCTTTTATTTCTTCTAAGAAACACGGAAGTGACTATTTTGCTTCGGATTGACTAGACGCTTAAATGGAAAATTTTTTCGATGAAAATGGGAGCGGAGTGGGATAAACCGGACGCCATCGGAGGTCACAACACATTGGCGTTTCGATCTCTGCCGTTTCCTCTAGAAAACGGGAGGACTCCGTCGACATCCTCTTTCGTCGTGAAACCAATTGACTTTGTCTCATTTCAGTAGTTGGGGTCTTTTTTTACCGGGAACAAGACTCGGTTATATTTATTGGTTTTCCGAGTATTGCCCGCCTTCCAAAGACGTATTAAAATGAATTGTGCTACCGCGTCGTTGAGAGCAACGTGGCAAGGCTGCGACGGAAATGCTTGTGTCCTGCGGGGTCGTGCTTGTTTTCTCATTTACGTTTATACAAACAAAGCTGTGTCGGTGCTCGTGTTGGTGCCGAGCCGCTACTTCTTCGATTGCAAATGCTAGCGAAGCACCCAGCGTTGCGCTCGTCTCGGTAGTGCACGTACTGCGCCGTGTTCATGTGGGGGCACATCGAAATTGCCATGAACCGTTCACTTGAGTTTACACTCATGCTAACTTCTGCAATTGAGCTACCGGCAATCCAAAGTTACGACCACGGTGCGTGTAAATTTTCCCGTTGTCAGTACTATGTTTCGTGAGCTATTTAATCGTGCGTGGAGAGCATATCGAAAATGCGTTGTTGTTAAACTTGTAGTGTTGTTTCGTTGTATTCCTAATAATAACAGTTATAATACGTATGTTTCCTTGACATATGCGTATCCGATAGCTTACATGATGCGTGCGCAGTCATGCATAAATAATTAGTCTGCCACCATGTCTGGGATATTTTGGAATGGATTTATGACGTGCTACGGGCGAAGCTTTTACAGTATACCTTCAACTTTCAGTTCATTCCTGTAAATTAGCTGCAGTGTAAGAGGTTATGTTAAACATACCATCAAACGATTTTGAAATAGAATTTCAACCGTCGCCCGTCGTAAAAGGTGGAAAAGGAAAACCAAAAGGAAAAAATAGAAAACCAAAATTGTTTTTTCCACATAGAACTTTTAAAAGAAAAGCGGACTCTTTTATATCTTCTTTCCTTCGACAGCTCTTTGCCTTTTCACTGCGATGCATCCACGTCGCCTACTGGATAAGAGCCTACCTCACCAGTATTGTGATCATAAACAACAAATAACCGGCGAATGTTTCTTAAAAGTTTTGTTAAAGGATATTCTGATCCACATTTTGTAGCATAATTAGCGATGTGACGGAAATTTCTTAATTTAATCATGCTCGGAGCTATGCGCCATCTATCGCGTGGTAAATGAAGCAAGAGAAACATCAGACTGCGCCTGCGCTGTCAACCAACAAGCGTTGGTCGTCTGCTGAGGAGAGCTCGGCCGCGAGCGTTGTATGCAGGTCTCAGTTCCTGTTGTCTATTGAAAAACATGGCGTCGGTGGTAATCGTCGACGTGGTTGACGTTGTTGAAGCTCATCGTTCCGCGTAGAGCGCTCGCTATCTTTGACTGAATCCTCGTCGTGTGTCGCGATGATAACCTAGAACTTCCTAGAAGGGAAGATCCATCCACTCGTGCTGCGATGTTGTGGCAGCACCCTCAGGACAACAGGAACGCACGTGTGTCATCATGTTTGCTTACCTCGACTACAGTGGTGCTTTCTTAACATTTGTGCCTGCGAACATCGCCCGAATTTCTTATTTCGCGCATTCCATGCGTGCGCTCAAGTTGAAGGTATTACTGGTGCATAAATGGTTGTTCGTTTTCGGGTTTTATATTTTTCTAAATTCGGGGGGTAAAAATCGGGTGCTATTTTTCAGGCTGATAATCGGGGAGAAATCGGGATTTTTGAGGAAACACTCCGAAATTCGGGTTTGTTCGGGTTAAATATACAAATGTACTCAACATTTGGTTTTTTTTTTGTTATTGGAGGGTATTACGAGCTGTTTAATGCTAACGCGTTAAAGTTGGGAATGTGTTTCAAGCTGGTAATCGGGGGGAACATCAGGGTTTTCCAGCTTCGATTGCCGTCGGTCGCTTCAAGGGAAGTACCGCCCACGGAATCCTCCTCTTTCTCAGGTGTCAACCAAAAACCCGACCGTTCGAGGGACGGTTGTCTTCGACCAGATATTTTGCTATGAAATAAACTTGTTAAGTTTTCCAGATCCGTTTCAGTGACTGACTGGCTCGGACGTTATTCGTGAGAAAGGTTGGACGCCAGCGAGATGGCCATGCTACCCGAGAGACTCCGTGGGGCGTCGACACCTCACCGGTCGAAGGGGGATTGCTAGTGCATTTCACAAGCTCTGTGCAGCAGGGCCGAAGCTACGTGGCGTGCCGAGGCGGTTCCACCTGCACAGCGGGGGGACGGAAATGTCCCTCCGAGGCCCAACGCCTATTGTTGCTTTTCCTCAGCCGGCCTCCGTAGAATGTCACGGTGAGTTAAGCCCGGTTCAGACAGTTGCGTTTGACTGCGTTTGACTGCGTTGCGGCTGCGAGAAACCAAGACATCCCTGCTGCTTATATCGCGTGCCAATATGATTCCTTGAATTGGAATCCAAGCTTCATACGTAGCACAGATGCGTCGGTGACTCGCTTTTGGATGTCGGCACAACGCAGTCAACCACACTCAAACGCAAGTGTCTGAACCGGTCTTTAAGGGGTATTCAGACGAGGGAGAAATCCCGGGGATTTCTCCCCGGCACGCGCGCATCACGAGATGAAAACGCGAGGCTTTTGCGCATCGCAAAGCCTGGCGTTTTCGTCGTGGGTTGCACGTGCCGGGGAGAAATCCCCGGGATTTCTCCCCCGTGTGAATACCCCTTTAGGCGCGCTCGTTGGGCGGTTGGTTGAGTTGAGAGTCATGTAGCATCCACAGTGCTGCACGCAGCTTGCGAAATGAACTATAGGTCACCGTTGTCCCGAGGTAGGGTAGCTATCGTGCGTGCACCGCAAACTCCGTGCGGCGTAAAAATAAATAGGTTGTTTATGGGGTTTCGGACTTCGGGGAGAAATCGGGTTCAACCCGATTCTCCTGAAACATGTCCGAAGTGTAAAAATCGGGTAAAATCGGGTTTTACCCGAAAGCGAACAACCAATGTATTTAAAGGCGTAAATGAAGTATGCGAATTTTGACGCGTTTTTATCACTCGAAAAAAGTGATTAGTGTTAGCGTTCCTGAACGATACTACGTTGATATATCGATGCTAAGATTATATCGTCTTTTGCAATCGTATAAAACGCGAGTGTCGAGATTTGTACTATCGGTAATGTCGTGTGTTAAAGTCGTTATCGTCCACAACAGCCTACTGCATCTTTTTATTTTCTCTTTTCATCCACCCTAGCCTGCGAGTCTATCGTGACAAAATAAAAATTGGTAAATCTAGTGCCCATAAAAAACTGTCTATTTTCTGCTACGCCAGTGAGTAACAGCGCGTCCCTTCTTTTTAGAGGCACCTTGGAAATGGCTGACGGCGGCGGAGAAGTGGCCGTCGTGCAGACGACCTGCTGCGTTTGTTGCAGTGGTTGCAAGAGTGTGTACGCACGGCGCAGAGTGGTTGTTCCGGTCGCTCCAGTCACAACGGACGCAGTCGTAGCTAGCGCGTTCGTTGCAAGTGCCGAAATTACAGTTTGTGCAGTCCGGAGCCTAAAAAGAAACGGCTTCAGTTTCACCGCTTGCCGTTCGAGGAACCATGTCGAAGCACGTGGTGCAGGCTCATCGGTTTAAGGGACCCCAAGTCTGAGGTCATCCGTGTATGCTCATCCGTGCGTGCTCATCCGTGTATGCTCTGAGGTCATCCGTGTATGTTCCGTACATTGGAGTCGCCACTACTTGTCGTCCGATTCCGTCGATGAACTGAAGTCATCGTCGGTAGACTCGCCGCACTTTTCAATATGTGTATTGGCGTATGGTATCAGTCCCATGCTCTCGCTTTAGCACAAAATATCTACTTGAATTTCGCTCAGCTGCGACGTCTCCATTGCTATCGCGGTGATGAGAGGCGCCGATTCAGAAAATATGTTGGTGGCAGCGGCGCCATCAGCGCAGTAACACCCTGTGGTAAAACCCAGTCTCCTACGCCGAGAGAACTTCCGATTCCGGTGCCAGAGTATGTCACGACCATTAAAATAATGCCGCGGCTTGTTTTGCGTTTAGTTGGAGAGGAAGAAAAACTCAATATTTCATTAATTTTTCGTGCAGAAATCATTGAACCAAAACGAGAACAAATGCCTGTTCGGCGTTTAGTGAACATTGAACGTTTAATGTGAAGGTTTCCTCTTAAGTAAGCAAATTATATTCAAAACGGGCTTCGGTCTGAGTAGTCGGCTTAGCGTTTGTTACAAATAGGGGCCTGCAGAAGAAACACTTTAAAAAAGTTCAGCACAAAAGACAAAGCTTCTCTCAATACTCAGTGCGCCTCGGTGCTTGGGAGGATTGTAATTGTGGGTGAATATTAAACAAAAATAGGGGCTTCCTTTTCGTGGTGCTTCGCTGCGGACTATGTTAGAATGCAGTAGAATTAGCGCGATATTACCTATGAAGGTAATATTACGCTGATTAAATTGAGATGAACCTTACGATCTTTTGTCGGCTTCTCGAATTTTTGGCACGACCTTCTGTAGCCAAATATCGCTGCCTCCCCTCCGACGTCTCTTTGGCACAATCAGCACGCTCATACTCAGCACGCCGCAGCTTCCGTTCAGCAAACTCTTCAGTCCGCTCCCTCCCCTTGCGAGGCATTGTGAAGACTGTGGCAGAACTAGAGTCGCTAAATAAAGCTACGCTTTCAGAGTACCGAAACTCCCAAACTACGCGTCTGAAGCGCGTCAGGCGCCGCCATCTTGGGTCCACACGCAGATGGAGGAGTGACTGTAGCTGAGCCAAGCCGAGCTTTAGCAGTCGCCTGCGCCAGCTGCCGTAGCCGCAGCTGTGGCAGCGAATCAAGGTCGTTTTGTTTGCATCTCGACGAAAGAAGGAAAAAATGCATCCTGAGCGACGGACTTCACCGTGCGCACGCAGTAAACAGTAAAACAGCAGCAGGCAGCGGATCGCTGGACCCAAGATGGTGGCGTTGAAAAAACGCGATGATGATGATAGCGACTCACGTGACTGCCGCTGTCCAATGATGCCGCAGCGAACCAGAGTATTGTTGAATAGAGCGACTGTATTGTCGACAAAATGCCCAAGAAAAGGAATGTGGTACTCTGAAAGTGTAGCTTATTTAGTGTTTCTAGCATAACCAGTGAGCGTCTCGTCCCACGACCCGTGCATGCGCGTGACGACAAGAGGAGGACGTTACTTATCCAGGTAAAGGTTAGTTCACACACTTTCGTGAGTTTGACTTAGCGCGACTGCAAGTACTTGCGACGTACGTGTTGCTGTGGCATTAGCTACGTCGGCTCCAACAAAAACGGCGTAAAAAACAGTTTTGTTAGAGCCGACGCAGTTGTTGACATAGCAACCCGTACGTAAGCCGTAAGCCGTTTAAAGAATCGGCATCTTCTACTTTTGGCATTGTTTATCTTGTCACAAAGGACAAAAACACACCTCCTTCCTTCGAAATGTTGCGTTTCCGGAGCGTGATCGCGAGGCTAAAATTAGAATATTCCCCGACCTGCAGCCGCGAGCGGCGGCCATGAGAACCACGCGGCATGACGTCAATGGGGGTCTTGTAGAAAGCTAGCAACTTGTGCTAATACGTGCTCGATAAAAAGTACCTTTCTATAAATCTATAAACATAAATGCGTCAAAAACCTGGTATCATCGACAAAACTTTTATTATACGGAGTTTTAGTGGCGCCATCTATCCTAGGTCCACAAAACCGTGAGCTATCTCTGCTACTGCGAACAGCCGCAAGACGTCGGAGGGGCTCCGGGGCAGAGCCGGAGGGAGATGGCCGGACCCGGATGAGACTTTCCTCCTTTCACCAAATTGTTCGCGCTGCGCCAGCACATGGTCACGCAGCCGCGAGCGGATGACTTCCCGCTACTCACTGATGGATCTAGAGAGAGAGCTTCACCGGACGTCACAGTGCACGTGACTCGGAAGATGGTGAAGAAGTTGAAAGGTTCCGAAAACCTCAACCTTTGTCTATATTTAAAATAAGAACTAAGACATACAGGCAAAAGCGGTTTTTGGTTCCTTACTTTAGAGAGGTTGAGACACCAGCTCCCAAATTATTTAAGCAAAGCACTGAAATTGTTGCACAGTGCGACGACTACCGAAAAGAAAACAAAAAACTGTGAAACAAAAGCAGTTGTGGGTCGTCGAAGTAACGAGAAGGGTAACTCGCTACATTTGAGGTAATGTAACGCGTTCCTTTTGAGAATAGGTACCGAGTAACGCATTTAGTTACTTTCCGAGCGAATAACAAGTAACGGTATTTCGTAACTTTTTTGGGTAACGTGGTCTCGTAATATCCCAGTGTACTCAGATCCCCGCCATGTATTTACACAGGCTAAATGCACCACCCAACAAAATTATGACCGGGAACGGGAACGAGTCCTTTAACTGCAGTCGCAACGAACTGCACCGCAGCACTGAGCATGGTGAAACGTCACGCTCAGGGCCCAGGGCAGACTGTTTTGAGTTAGGTTTAAACATTTATATTGTCAGCCACGTCATTGACTGAGCCCTCTCTGTAGATTGCAGTGATTGGCTCTTCCAAATACCTTGGACGGAAGAGCAGACGCTTGAGGTTTCTTCGAGTGTACTATACGACCTGATGGAGCCAATCGAGCTGTGTCAAAAGTGCCTCGTCAATGGGGCTCGTCGTCTTTGTGCCTTTGTCATGAACGGCTGAACCAATCACGCGCACTAAATGCGCCTTGGTCCTGCAATTACTTTTTTTGGCGTGATTGGCTCAGCCGCGGATTGCAAACGCACAAAAACAACGAGCGCCGTGACGAGGCCCTTTTGGGCGCTTCTCGATTGGCTCCATCGAGTCATGTAGCGTCGGGTCCGGTCGGACGTAATATGACGATACAAAAGTAGAGTCAAGGGTAAAACACGTGTTCGTGCTGTATGTTATACCCGCTGAATTCTGAAAGATGAACCTGCATCCAAAACCGCATAGAAAAAAAAAAGCTTCAGGTACACTTAAGCATTTTTTATAAGTTCTGAATGCGAAAGCATGCAAGCCGCTCGTCGGCTCCCTTTGTCGTCTGCTGCGTACTAGCGCGCGCGCGCTTCAGGATCTCGGAGGCCATGGCACAGCAGCCAATGGGAGCCCCGTCGACGCGCGCCAGCCAATGGAACCGAAGGCGAATCGCTCCTGTTGGGATCGCGGCGGAAATAAAGAGCCGTTTTCGCGCTTCAGACTGATGACGTCAGCTTGCTCCATGAGACAGTTAATGCATTCGCATTTAAAAAGGCATTTTTAATGTATCGTTTACGAAAAACGAGGAACATATTGGCAAACATGCCCTACGCAAATGTAATGTTTTTCATCCGAATTTCAATTCAAGCATTCATAGCAATCGATGGTGATCAGGAATACCAAATTGCTAATATTTTGTAATAAAGCGTGAATCACTAACGAAATAACCTCTTCTTATTGTTTCTTTTTTTTCTTTTTTAAACAACCGTGAAGTGCCGGAGTAAAAAATACTGGCGCGGAGCTATACGACGCACTCGACAAAGATTCCATAAGACTGGCCTTTCTTCGTATAATTATGACCTTTCTTCTGACCTTCGGTTGCCTTTTCAAAAGCCATCGTATAGCGGAACGCCTGCCTTTTAAAATCCGAACAGCTTGTTTTCGTTTTCTGCATTTTATAAATTTGTTTTTTGGGGGCACTCAATCGAATGTGTAAAGAACGACGTCAAAGGGCACATGTATACGTACACTTTAGCTGTCTTTTTAAAGGTCGGCCATACGTTTACTTGGCCGCAGAGAATCTACGACTTGGAGTTTTTACTGTTGGTTATGGAGATCAAGTGGGTGCTAGCGTACTTTTTGTTTTCTGTTTTGCTGGTTTCTGGTGACGCTCAAACGTCGAATGGACCAGCAAACCTGAAGCCATCTACAGGCCCGAAGAAGCAAGCATCCCCGAAGGCAGCAGTAACCAAAGTGAAGCAAGCAGTGCAGAAAAATACAGTAGCGTCAACGCCTACACCACCGTCAACCGATCCCGAAATATGTGGTAAAGTTGAGCTCAATCAAACTTCATAATGGCTGGGGTAAACGATTGTTGCCGTTTAGTTTTTATTAGATGTATAAAGCTAGAATAGGTCAAGTGACCGCATGACTATGGCAAATGCCCTACGTTAGAAATCAACGAGATTGAAGAGCTTCTCACGCAACACAATTTTTGAACGTTACAGTGACTATTTCTTTGTCTTAAAGGATACATGCAAAGAAGAAAAGTAATTGTTTTTTAAACAGCCTAGGTGTCTAGAAAATGTTATAAAACATATTTACAACGAAGAGAAAAAAAAATTAGAGCTATATTTTCGGCGCTAAACGAGTTTCTAGTTGGCGCCCGCGGGAGCCGCCGCCGGTCATGTGGTAGACCCGTGCTCCTTCGCGCAGCGCCGTTGCTGCCTCAAAGTCATGCCGCCGCCGCACGCTGAGCGTGGTGCTCCGCCGATGCAAAGCGTTTCTCGACGCCGCCGCCGCCGCCATCGCCGTGCAGGTTCGACTGCTCCGGGGCTCGCCGACGTCATCTGACCGGTCGCCGCCGTCATCTGACCGGCGCACAGGTCGATCACGTCTGCTTGCACTTTTTTAGGAGCTTCGTTTAGGTTCTAAAAGTGACTTATTAATCTTCGTTTTTTTGTTTCACTTGAAACAAAGATGAATAAGTAGCTTTTAGAGATCATAGGAAGCTTCCGAAAGAGCGCAAGCTCCACGTGACAAATAGCGGCCACTTTTCCGCGGCGCCCGCGGGTGCCAACTACAAATTTGTATAGCACCGCAAATATAAATATAAAAAAATCTTTCTTTTTTCGTTGTAAATGTGTTTTATGATTTTCTTTTCCCAACCCTAATGTTTAAAAAATGTTTTTTTTCTTTGCATGTGCCCTTTAAGATTGAAATATCATGTGTGCGTATTGTACGGGCGACTGAATGTAAACGAGCGAGACATTATCATGATACAACATTGTACTGCGGTAGCTAACAATACTTGTATACTTGGTTTTAGAGCGCAGCTCTTAGGCGCCCCTTTCCGGGTTGAGCGGCGTCGGCGTCGTCGTAACTGCGTGTTCCCTTATGGAAGATTTCCCATAACGATGTCACACGTGACGTCACGTGTGACATCATGAGGGTAAAATTTTCCGGCTAATTTTGGCGGAAAATCGTTTCGGTAAATTTCTCGGGAAATATTTTTGCTAAATTTAGCCAAAAATATTTCCCGCCTCCACGAACGTCACAAACGAGTGTCGTTCGTCATACGCGACGTCACGTGTCACGTCACGTGACGTCACGTTAAATTTAGCGAGAAAATGTAGCTGAAAGTTTTCGGCTAAATTTAGTGGGGAAATCGGCGTCACGCAACCTCAACACCAATTCGGTTTTCCCGCTCAATTTGGAGGGAAATTTTTCGCTAAATTTCTCCGCTAAATTAAGCGGGAAAAGTTCTCTGCTCAATTTAGCGGGGGAATTTTCGCTAAATTTTCTGCTAAATTTAGCTTGGAAATTTACGCTTAATTTAGCGAGAATTTCTCTCTAAATGGGAGGGGACCTGTAGAGGAGGAGGAAGGGTACGGAGGGGGGGGGCAGGGACATACCCTCCCCCCTGTACCCTGCCCTCCTCGTCCTCAAGAGCTGCGCTCTAATTCTGCATTACAGGGAATAAACCCTTTCCGAAAGTCAGTCTGGCCACTTTCATTACCATCATCATCATCTGAAAAATGGCATATGTTCCGTGCTAATGGCGGCCTTCTGTTTACTGATGACGGAACAAGTTGAAGACACTACTAAGCTGAAGTGGGGCCTATACATTCGTGACATTAGCACGTTGCAAGGCAGGAATTGAATGAAAAAGCTGCGTAAGCGTTCATTTCTATAACTTGGGCCCGGTCAATCTGTTAGTAGCACATAATCGACTTCAAAGCCCCTTCATATATAGAATTTTATCAAGGCGTCTATCTGGGTTAGGGCTTCATTCTGACTGGTTGCATCTTTGTGGCCGTCGACACTAAAAGAGATGATCGAGAAACAATAGTATACAGTGAAGAGCATATTTTCGTTTGCCGTTGACTTGCGAAAGTGACGGTGCACGATAAAATACTGCTGGCTACAGGTTCATTGCCGCCATTAGTACGGCAAAAGTTAAACTACCATTTCAGCCACTAGATGGCATTGAATTTCGGGAAGGATCTATTGTAAACGTCTTTCATTTTTTTTTTCATTTGTGATTGGAAAGAAAGAAGTGCCTGAGATAGAGGACGTAAAATTTTCGTTCCGTCAATTCGGCAGCCCTTTTAGTCGCCTATTACCAGCTGTGACCTTCAAAGACCAACCATAAGAAGCTTCGAAACTACCGGCGACGCTCCAGCAGTCGCGGGAAAGCCGCTCGTAAGGGTGGTATTTTGCACACACCAACCGAGATACCTGGATCCACGTTTGAATTTCAGCAGCAAAGCTTTGAAATCGCCGCCGCCAGCGTCACGAACCTAGTATCGATAGTCCACATCAACTCCTGGACGACACAGCATGCTAAACGACTTAACACACGATGCTCATGACACTGCGCCCACATTCTGGACATCCGAGTCAGTGGCGAACTTATCTGAGAGCGAGGTCGAAAATATGGAAGAATGCAACACCGACAATGAAGAGTGGAACAAGTCAGGATCACGTAAGCGCTCACACAAATCACTGTCCGACTCTGCTCTCGAGTTCGAGAACCATTCGCAAACAGCCAAACGTCTGTGAAGGACTCACAGTAATCTTTGCCGCTACGAAACCTGACCAAAAGCTAGGCTTTCCAACGCCCTAGGGAAGCTTTGTCCAGAGTGTATCCGTCAGATCCGCCCAGAGCCGTATAATTGGAGAGTCCGGCCAGTGGGTGGCGGCGACGAAGGCGCTGGTGAGGAGAGAAGTGAAGAAAAGTGAGGAGAGCGCCGAAGGAGCGAGAGAGGAAGAATGGAGCAAAGAGGAAACGACCGCCCTTTTGACGGAACATGTCGGCGCACAGCATTGTTGAGGATATGCGCCTTCTGCCACGGGCTTATTTCTTCTTCGCCTCAATACAAGTTTTCGTTCAAACGTGGAGAAACTTGATTCTTTAACTTTCTAAGCCACCGAGGAATAACCCTATATTATTTTCTTGCCAGAGCCTGACAAATAAAAGGAGAGAACCGAAATTTGGATATCGATCCTATCGGGCGAATGAATGAAAATGGCGTCTTGTCGCTCAGCTGAGAGCAGCCGGGAGTTCACGCACATGCGCTCACATCTCTTGCTCTGCGCCGTGGGCTGATTGGCTCACTCGAGAGGGGGGCGCTACGGCGGCGATATCATAGACTGGCCAAGCTCTCCTAATATATGGCTCTGGTCCGTCCCAACAAGAGCCTCAACGTCGTCGCCGTTGACGTGCGCAACGGCCAAACAACAAGGATGCTGCTGAGATGTCCTGAACTTTATTGTGTCGCTGTCAGGGCCTACCTATTCCTCGAGGGTCCCACATCGATTGGTGCCATCAAAATTGTTGATGCCGGACCGTCAGATCCTCCAATTTCAGAAAACCTGCGATTGGACGTCGTCTTGAGGTGGCAGGTGTCGTAAAGCTAACATTCAACAGTTCACCATTGCCAAGTTTCATGCTGCTACACTGTTAGAAAATTCCATCAATCTACGTGGAAAAACCGAATAGAACATGTCCCGTTTTCTGGAAATGCATACAATGTGCTGTTTGCTTTCAAAAACGGGAACTGTACCATATGCATTGAAATGTGCTATTTAGGCAATAAGTATGAGCTTATCCGTATAAATAAAAAAAAGCCTTACAAGACTACAGTTTATAGTCGGTTCAACTGGTATAAGCGAATTGAACGCGCCCAAAAGTGCCGGATATCCAGCAATTTTTATGGAACTCTATCAGACCGCGGAAGTACAGTGCCCGTGAGCCGTGTTACGCCGCGCGCAAGAAGACATCTCTCACCCGCGCGTGCGCAAGCCGCTGCCGGCCGGCGTGGGCCCGCGAGCCGCGGAGTGCTCTGCCCGTTCGGAAGGCGAGTTCGACGTTGTTATCGCTTCGTCAGAGGCGTTCAGCGGTGCGTAGACGGCTTTGTTTTCCAAGGTACGTATACGTTAAGTTGTTCCTACCGCAGTGTTATTTTACTATCTCTAAGTGTGTCGTATATTCCAAGTTCGGGATGCCCAGCGTGTAGCGTCTCGTCTTCCCAGCTGCATAAAGCTAGGCCTTTTATAGTTCCTGATTCGGGGCGGCATACTGCCCGACCCTACTTAGTATTGATGGTATGCTGCGCTGCGTAGTTACGCGGAAAAAAACTGGAGAAATGAAGTTAATGCAGAAGGACAGACAAAAACATGCATGAATTGGCGCAGACTAACAACTGTTTAATTTCTTTCTTTTTTTTTTCTCCCCCGGCCCGTATTTCCAAAATTGCGGCTAAGAAAACGAATGGTTGATGTCTTGAATTTGTTGGCTTCTGAACTTGATGGTGTTTGCTGTAGCTGCCTCTTTGATATACGAACTGGATGGTGTGTTTTTGTAGCGTTTACCTGGGGCCTGATGTTTGCTCCGACAAATTTGGTATCTTATTGAGCAGATCTATTTCTTCTTGTCGCAAAGCTAGTGGTGGCTCACTGACGCACGCTCCGTGTCTACCCGAGGCCATGTGAAAAGCCTCGATTATTTCACGCTTTGTTCTGTCCTTTGATCTGGCCAAGATGGAAGTAGTGTCAAGGAGAGCTTTGCAGTTGCATTTTGAACAATGCGCTGCAAGGTTGCCAGGTGCTTGCAGTTGTCCGCATTAGAGCACTGCACGGGCCGGAATTTCTAAGCCCGGCCCGACCCGGCCCGGTAGAGACACGGCCCGGGCCCGGCCCGAGCCCGACAGAATATTTTATTTCTAGGCCCGGCCCGACCCGGCCCGGTAGAGACACGGCCCGGGCTCGGCCCGAGCCCGATAGCATTCTCAAATATGAGCCCGAGCCCGGCCCGAGTCGAAA